GGGGGTTTGTGGTGTAACTTGTGGTATATTAAACTCCAGTTTGAAGCAATTTCATGGCCAGGTGAGGCTTTTTCCCAGATAAAAGACCTGGAGTTGAATCCAAGTGTTAAACAGTTGGTAGCTTTTCAGTGGAACTCTCAATATAAGGCCCAAAGAGATGTTAGTGCAAGCAAGGAAGGCCATCATTAAGCTGAAAAATAAATAGTTAAATAATCCTATGAGAGAGCTAGCAAAAACTTTAGTTGTGCAATCTAGTACATTCTTAAAAAGAATGAATGCACTGATCCGATCTGCAAAACCAAAAGGCCCACAAGCCCACAGAAGACACCTTTAGTGGATGATTGCAGGACTCTTCTTTGGTTAAGAAAACCCTCCACAGCATCAAACCAAGTTGCCTATAGCAACACGTGTAGGACTGATTAGAACTAATAAGACTTATTCAGTGGTCTGATAACAGTCAAGATGGGCTGTTTTAGGGTTTTGCTGCCTTTAGCCTGACACTGAGGAAGTGAACGAAGCACTTAAATGAATGTTTCTTACCCCTCACTGTAAAATTCTGATTGGGTATTGTCATCACCCTGTCGGGAGGGCAGTCGACAGGGACACCCAAGTTTGTGAATGTAATACCTTGAGAAGGAAGTCACCTAGGATTTTGAAATTTACACCATAGATGTATCCACTAAAACTCTCAGTGACCTCAGCCTCAAGGTCAGTAGGCAGAGGTGAAGTTTTTTGAAAATCTTTTAAATCAGTGACATACAATTTTGAAATGCATACAAAAGATGCAACTACTAGGAGGCTGAGGGGTACCAGTGTCCACTGCCAGTATTTTTGTTGTTTCATGTTGTCTTATTTGAATCTTTTTGCTGACAACTCTTGGACTTTTGCATTTTGAATCCAGCTATGTATGTGGATTTTCTGGTGACTAATCAGAGATTCTACTCTTAAAGTTCTCTCTTTATGGATGAGGAAACATGTGAGCCAATTTGCAGAGGGCTCTGCAGATATTCTGGTCATCCCAAAGATTGTTTTAGTTATTTATTTTTTATTCTTTTTGATTTTTTCCTTTTGTTTTAAATCTATTCTACTACTTACACAAATTCACTGTATTTGTTGCCTTTTTTGTTTTTGTCAACTCTGTCAGTGCTAAAAAAAAATTGTCCTGAATGATTTGGGTCTTGGATGCTGTGAAATGTGCATTTCTTGATCCAAAAGTGGTTTTACATTATGTCAAAAGTGTATGTACCATTCCACCCCTCTGAGAATCCCAGTCAGCAGATATTTGGACAATCTCTGTCAGCCAGGCTCCATCAGAAGTGCACTGTGTGAAGACTGGGAAACAGATGCAAATGTCTCTTCTTCTTGTCTGTTTGCCCTGATGTTAACAGAGGACATATCACATTTCTTTTGCCTTCACATTGTAATTCGCAAATGGTCGTAATCACAATATCACAGCACTGAAATGGCTTTCTTTGATGTACATTTGGTTGTAATAACTAGCTATTCTAGAGTAATGATGTTAATGGAGATTTATTCAGGGAATATTGTCACTGATAAAGATCTGTGTTGCTATAATGAGTCCCCCGAGGACCACTTACAGAGTTCTAAGTGGACAGTCATGACTGACTGACACTTAAAATTCAGTCTTTAACTTTAAGTCGAAATTACACTTTGGTTTGTCAAAAATCGTGTCGGTACTGATATAGCGCTATTTGAAAAAGCAACATTTAAGATCTAAGTCAATGATTTTTGAAGGAAATATTTAAAGCTGAATTTTTGCTTCTTGTGATCATTATTAAAGGTAGAAAGGTAGAAGCCTGGGACTTCCAGTGTTAAAAGAGACAAGGGAACAGTTTTGAATAAGTCTGTTGAGACTAGTGTTGTTGTTGTTGTTGATGTTTTTGTCTGTTAGCATTGATTCTCTCCTTGAATACTAATTCTTTTCCTGTACCCACTTAATCATGCAGTGCATACTCACCTAATAGGGACATACTGTAAGAGACTGTCACACATACTGTGTATTTGGCACTTTTGACAAGGTGACTGGATGGGCTCCATGTAATATTTATGGATTCTGAAAATGCATCAGGGTCTTTGTATAAAATCTGTTCCCTACTGTTGTCACATGTGTGGGAAAACTTTTTTTTTTTTAATTTGTGTTATTATGCTGCTATCTCACTGAAGGCAAATTCTGGAAGCCACAGTTTTTTCTTTTCAGTGTAAATCACTTGTCACCGGGAGAAGTGCTTTCCTCCTGAATTATTAAATCTGTTGTCCTTGAGAGCATGACAAAGTATTGACAAGGATGACAATATTTTCCCCTCTAAAATAGTATTTTTTAACACTACTTGGAAGTTTAAAGTCACCTGACAATGATATTATTATGCTGTGCCATGATTTATATCATTGCATATCAAATCATAGCTTTAATTTATATGCAATAAAACATAGCAGGGTCTTGACTGATGTTTGGCACAATGGAACATACACTTTACTAGCATAGGAAGGATTGATACATCACTTATAGTATTTCATGAAAAGTCTTGATCATCGCCAGTAGGAGAGCATATTGTGGGTGAGATTGAAGTAAAGCTATGGATAGCAGAGGAGGGAATGGCCTGTTGACAGCAATTTGACTGCAATCCATCAAACTTTAAATTGTGTTGCAAGTGGCAAAAATGTTGCTCCTACTGTACACGCAACTGTGCTCATAAATATTCATCCAAGAAACTCATTTTCGTTAATATGAAAAATGTCTAGATGAACACGTTTTTGACAGATTTTTCAATTTACAGTGTGAAAGAGAACTTTTTATGTGTTCCCAGATGGCTAATGTATGTATTTCCTCCTCTTATTCTCATTTCAGTTGTGTTGCTGGATACAACGTCTGTGCTTGGGGAGCTTGGATGGAAGACATATCCAATAAATGGGGTAAGAGGGGAACCTCTGTCCCATGTTATTTCATTTATTATTACTGTCCAGAATGTCTTGTTAAAAAAGGAATAGCTACTGTTGCATCAATGAGATAAACTATATTGATTTAAAGAGGACAAAATTGGTAGAATGATCCTTTTGTGGATTCGTTTTGTATTCAGATTACTCTGTCCTCACAGAAAATACAAAATAGAGGTGAGGTTTAAAACCTCCTACTATGGTGTTCAGTTTCGTACTCCTGATTAATTCCTTTCTCGGTGTTCTGGGAATCCATCCTACCTGACAAACCATCGTACTCGTTGTTTCTGCGCACAATGCGAAATTAAGTGGCAAACCGTCCTACCTTTGTGAATATTAGCTAGAAAAATACTCTTACGGGTAAAATTAAGTGCCAAACCATCCTACCTTTGTGAATGTGATCTACAAGCATACTTTAACAGCTAAAGTTTAGTGGCAAATTGTTTTACCTTTGTTAATCTGAGCTAGAAGCATATTTTCACAGCTAAAATTCAGTGGTGAACCATCTTACCTTTGTGAATATGAGCTAGAAGCATACTTTCGAGGCTACAATTAAGTGGCAAATTGTCCTACCTTTGTTAATAACAGCTAGAAACATACTCTGACGGGTGAAATTAAGTGCCAAACCATGCTACCTTTGTGAATGTTACCTATAGCCATAATTTAACGGGTAAATTGAAGTGGCAAACCATCCTGCCTTTAAGAATATAAGCTACAAGCATACTCTGATGGGCAACGTTAAGTGGCAAACTGTCATACCTACTTAAATTTATGCTGGAATTACTCTGTGACAGCAGAAATGTGCATAAACTACCCAGGGTAGGACATTTTGCCAAAGTAGGATGGTTTGTCAAAACACCATTTCTGTCATGTGTGGGCCACATTATTCTTTAATTCACACATGCTTTTTTTCTTAAATATACATTCTTAAAATGTTAAGAATTCTTTCCATTCTTTCACGATTCATTTTGCCATCTTATTCAAAGTCCAAGAATGTAGTTTTCAACTTTTCTTTTAAACTTAGGTTGCCTCTCAGCATAGAAACAATAACTGCTCTATACCCTATTTTGTGTTTTTGTCTGTCAGCTACACCAAAGGGATTTTCCAATTTTGTTCAGACAGTAAATGCTTGAAGCCCAACAGCAATTTCGTGTCCACCTGAAAATCAGAACTTTGGAAAAAGCAGCAAGTGTCAAACAATTCCTGTATATTGCCTTGATAAAATATAGATGCACTGACAACAAACTGGAACATCTTCAGATCAAAACCTTCACACTGCATCAAAAGCTTTCTCTCACCGTGCTGACACAATACCTAAAAGTCTGATTGAAAATGTCTTCAAGCAATAAGGAATAGCAGTGGAATTGCCTGACTTCCACCACTTTGCTCATATCCCGGTCTTTCCTTCATGCCAATTAACTATGACACGACCCAATTCGTGGTGAAACCTAAATACAGGAAAGAGGGAGAAGCTACACTAAAACTGTGAGGTCCATAAGTATTTGGACATTGATCTCTTTACAATGTCACAGTGTATTTAAAATAAGATAATCAATATGTGATTGAAGTGCAGACTTTCAGCTTTAATTCAAGGAGTTTAAATAAGATTAGATAAAACTGCTAAGTAATTACTACCATTTTTATATGTACCAAATAAAAAGAACATCATTTTAAACCGCAATTGTTGTTCATACATGCATTCAGTGTCTGAAGTATAGAACCTGTGGACATCACCAAATGGCGCCAGGTCTTTCCTGCACCTTCAGTTGCTGCTTGTTTGTGGTCCCCTCAGTTTTTTTGGAGTAGCTGAAAAACATGCTCTATTGGGCTGAAATAAGGTGAGAGACTAAGCCAATGTAAAAGATGCCACTTCTTTGCTTTGAGAAAATCCTGGGCTTTTTTTTGCTGCATGTTTTGGGTCATTATCCATTTGCTCTGCAAAGCGCTGTTTGATTAGCTGTGTAGCATTTTTCTGAATCTGAACAAAGAGAGTAGCCCTGTGTACACTTCAGAATTCATCCTGCTACTTTTATCTGCAGTCACACAATCAGTAAACACTATTGACCACGTTCCACTGGCAGCCACACATGTATATACTGTACCATTCCCTCCACTATATTTGACAGATGATAGATTAAGTTAATTTTGTTTTTCATTTAGTCTTATTTAGTCTAATTTCATCGGTTCTTGAGTGTAACCAGTGGTTTGCACCTTGTTGCAAACCCTCTGTTTTTACATTCAAGAAATTGTCTCTTGATTGTAGACTTTGAGAGTGAGGTCCCCACCTCCTTGAGAGTGTTTTTGACTTGACTGGATGTAGTGAAGGATTTTTTTCTTTACCATGGAAATCCGTCATCTTGCACTTTAGTTCTACGACTATACCAGATTGTTAATTTGACCACTCCTTGACCACAACATTTTATGGGGGTCTTTATAAATGGGTGTATAAAAAAAAGTATATATTTCAGAATTAAGTACTGAACTTTTGTTAAATACCCCACAATTGAATTTACAAGCCTACACTTCCATCATATCTTGACTGTCTGCACATCTTGACTGTTTGTAAAGTCATGGTGTACAGAGGCAAAATTGCAAAAACTGTCATTATTTCTACACACTCAAGTGTGAGTTAACGGAACTTCTGTTTTTACAGTTTATAAGCAAGTTCATCACTTCTGTAAAACAAAATAATATTGAAAAGAGTCAATTATAAGCTAGTTTTAAAAATAATAATTCGTTCTTTTAAACTCTGTATGACCATCTAAGATTTGTACTGCCAGGGAGCTAATTATAAATTAATGTTATGCCACCAAACTTTAGACTTCAATAAATCCTAAAGTTTGCTGTTTACTTTCCCTCTGGTAAACAGTTTGATTATATTCTCATGTCACATGAGAGTTTATTCTCTAATTGCCTGAGTCTGACGACCTTGGATCCACTTATAAGAAAGTTTCAGTAACACCAGCCAACAGTAGCAAAAGCAGCAGCACTTACCAACAGCAAAAGTTCAGGATATCCTCAACAACTCACCTCAATGTCACCGTCAGTGGTCAGAAGTGAGTTTTATTGACTCACCGACCCATATCGGACTCCTTACACAGGCAGTTTTACAGCCTCCTCCAGAATAAATAGGTGTGGACACATTTGGAAGCTGAGGCAAACAGTGGACTGACAGTCTGTACTTCCTACAAATGAAAGCCAGCTGGGGTGTTAGAGGAAACTTAGGAGAGAAATGGTTAAATATCACAAAACATCCCATTGATATATTATTTAAAATGTTCTTCCTGATTTATTGTTATTCAAATACATTAAAATGTAGCGTGTACAGAGATGTTTTATATGGAGATAATAGATGTGGAAAACTAACAGCCATCTGTGGCCATTATAGTGAAATACACAGAGTTGGCCATGGCCTTTGATTGTTGGGCCCCAATAATAACCGCTTTATGATAACAATGACATCAAATACGTCCACTCTTACGAGCCTCTGTTTGCCTAGGTTGTGCACCTCTTGATTTTTGTAATCTGCCTCATTTTACAACTACAACTGCAGCTGGGTTGAAGACACAAGTGCAAGATTGAGTTTCTGTACTGATAGGTCATTAAAATGTAAAGAAAAAAAAAACTGACAAAAAGATTTAAAAATTACACAAAGGGAGATGTTGCAATAGTTTGACTTTGTGTAAAATCCATCCATTTGTAGGATCGCATCAGATTCACTTTGTGGAAAACACTTTGAAAAAGAGAAAAGTCAACTCTGATGTAAAGGTATAATGTGAGTGTGAAAACATCTACTGTATCGTTCAGAGGAATAGGTACTGATGCCATAAGAGCACTCATTAGCATCCTTACGCTGAACTGGATGGATGGATGGATGGATGGATGTTCACTTTGCTTCATTGTGGCTAAAACCATGTGATTTTATTACTGATGTAACTAAGTGGCATTGTGATTGTTCGAGATACATTATAAATGCAGAAAATAAACCCAAAAAAGTCCTTGCCTGAAAATATGTAGTTTCTCCATAGAAATAAATAATTACATGTATTCTTTGAAAGTAATTGTGATCAAATGGTGTCACGACTTCACCCCCACCCGTCTCTTTCTGTCTCTCCCCCACATGGCCCTTGGTGGCCCATATCAGGGTTATGGAGGTGATTACATCATGTAGGTTATGGTGACAGCCGCCCAGAGGGTTAGGGAGGAGGGAGCGAGGCTACTGTCTTCATGATTGAGCTGTCAGTCCTCTCCCCTCCTCACTCATCCTCTGTCCTCCGATTTACCATTAATATTTAAGGCATGAGGTGAGAGGCCTGAGGGAAGGTGTGAAGATCTGGGGAGGTAAAATAGTTTAAATCCCCCACACTACCTGGAAGCAAGCAAGAGCAAGTCAATCTCCACCATATTAGACACAGCTTGGTATCAGGCCAATACAGCAGCGCATCATGTAGCTGCCTATCAGAGTTGCACACTAGTTCTAGTTTTGGGCATAAACTGCTGTCAGTCAGTCCTGCCCAGTACACCTTAAAATAAATTCATATGGAGTTTCTGTCCTAAAATTATTCCCCAATGATGAACTTGCAAAGAATATAGCTGTGTATATGATATGAAATTGAACAGGAAGTGGAAATATATATATATATATATATATATATATATATATATA